GACTAGACTTTTTTTGGCTAACTAAGGTAATGCTAAAGTAATAAAAGATATTTATGATTATCTTAAAATACTTAATATATTAATTTGAATTAAATAATAACCTTTAAAAATCAGTGTCCAATTGTTGAACTTCTCGTTTCAAGTCTTTGATTTGATTCTTTGTAGATGAGATTTCTTGATCCTAAATAAGTAGTTCATTATGATTAATTAATTAATCACCAAAAGGCAAATTGATTCCTTATAATAATACCTTTTTCCGACATGATTCTCTAAGCGTGACAGCATGTTCTTCTGCTTGTTTAAGATCTTGTTTTATTGAATCAACTCTCTCTTTTAAAATAATATACTCCGATTCCTTGATATCAACGAGAGATTGCTTCTCATTGATCTTCACTGACCAAGGCGCAACTTTTCTTTTTTTTTCTTCAATTTGGTTAGCAGTATTTAAGATTAAATCCAGTTTCAGTATAATAACAATATAAAAAAAATATTTACACAATTGGATTAAAATAATCGATTCTCATACCTTTAAGGCTTCCATGATTTTTTTAAGTTCACTTTATCGAGCCTCTAAAGATCTTTCCAAGCCCACAATTTCTTTCATTCGATCATTCAAATCCTGTTCATTAAATCGTATCGCTATTTTCGCTTCCGAAAGTCCATGATGACCCTATAATGAAAAGCATATTTATTGTATGTCCTCGAATATAAATATATGCATCAAAATAATATAACCTAATATAACCTACCGTAGAAAATTGCCATTGTCACTTTCTTGTTTATATTTGTTTGGAAGTTGCATGTTTCTTTCTCTCTTCCAGGTTAATATCTTTTTTTTCATGATTTGCCAATTCTTCTAGAATTTCATTCGTTTCTTTTTTCAAGTTGCTGATTAAAAAAAAATTATCATATTAATGAAAAATTTATATATTTGTAAATGAATATAATTTATTTTACCAGAAAGGTTGTATTTTTTTTCGAGATCTTTGTTATCTAGTTTTATCTGAACATGCTTTTCTTCTTCTTTTAGTTGATTTTTATAAATAAAATTAATCGTCATATTAAATTAGCTTGTCTGAATAAGTTATTATCTAATGACTTACCACAGCCTTAATTGATATTTGAGTCTTAGTTTTACAATTTAACAAATTTTTTTGATACAGTAGCAGACTGCTTCAAAGTTAACGTGTTTTCATCTCGGAGAAATTCTTTCTTGGCTTTTATAATTAATAAGATTAGAATCATAATTGTTATTTAATATGAATACAACCGCGATTGATTAATATGTTAACTCTAAACTTTGTTTCTCCTTTTCAACTAGATTAACGCGATTTAATTTCTCTGAACGTTTTCATTAGTTTCTTCAAGTGGGATTTTATATTTAGAAGTTACGATAACGTTCTTCAAGAGTCCATCTTCATGCTTATTTGGTGCTTTGGGTTTCATCTGAGATATTGATTCAATTTCTCCCTAATCATTAATTTAAGCACGAAATTTTGATGATGTTAATATATTACCTCTGACGAAAAATAAAAAAAAATTTTTTAAAAAAAATAAATAAAAAAGGCACCTGCAAAATTAGAAACCGTTTATGATCCAAATCGATCTCCTTTTCTTTCAAAAGACTTGTAACTTCAGTGTAATTGCTTTGTCGTCCATTAATGAAATACTTGCTAGCATTATTGCGAAAAGCTTGACGCGAGATAACCAACTGAGATTGAGGTACAACCTCATAATCATCTGGATCATGCTATAATATTATTGAACATTATGTGATTAATTTTTTGTATTTTAGGGAAATTAAAACTTTAATCATTTACCGTATCAAGGATTTCTTCAAAATGCACATCCACATTACAAGCATCCAGGTTCTCACATCCTTGTGATGAATGAATAAGTCCTGATAATTTTCCTTGCCTCATTTTACTTGCACGATGTCCAAATACAAATAAAAGCGCGTCTATGATATTAGATTTTCCAGAACCATTTGGTCCGACAATCGTAGAAAAGGACTTGAAATTAAAAAATTTTAAGATTAGAAAGGCTCTCGTGCCGCATCAAATCTCCAACAAAGCAAAATATATACTATACCTTGTGAAATGGGCCAATCTCAACTTGTCCAAAATACGATTTAAAATTGGTTAAAACCATTTTTTTGATTATAAAACGTCGTATGGGTTCAACAGAACCCTGACGCGTATTTGAACTTGAAGTCTTTGGTAAGCTAATATTACTATTACTGGCAATTTGGCGAGACATTATGAAGTTATAAAAGAAGATTGTTATTATAGAAATGTCGGTTCTTCAAAAACTTATATTCGAAAAATTACAAGTAGTAGTTTATTCAAGGATGTTTTGACGCGCAATTTTTTAATTAATATTTCTATTTAAGTAGTTTTTTCAAAGATGTTTTGACGCGTAATTATAACGAGCAATATTTCTATAAAAGTAGTTTTTCAAAGATGTTTTGACGCGTATTATAACGAGCAATATTTCTGTAAAGGTAGTTGTTCAAAGATGTTTTGACGCGTAATTTTAACGAGCAATATTTCTGTAAAAGTAGTTTTTCAAAGATGTTTTGACGCTCAATTTTAACGAGCAAACGAGCAATATTTCTATAAAAGTGTAGATCTTCATATGCTCATTTCTGTAAGAACTGTAATAACCAAATTTTTTTTATTATTAATTTTTTAACAAAAAAAAAAAAAAAAAAATTAGGAAATGAATAATAAAAAAAAAGGTGGATAAGTGTTCATTTAGAAAGGGGTGAGCATAATAATAATAATAAAAAATCTTAGAATGATTGATAGAATTTATGGAGAGGTTTGACTACAAGTATTCATTATTGGTTAGATGGATTAATGTCGAAATATAAAAGGTAAAATTTAAGATTTAATGAAGATGAAGTATTACATGAAAATATTAATAACTATTCGAGTTTAAAATTATAAAAGGAGATCTAGAAGTGATAAGTAGAATTTTCCATCCATCCATTAAAACAAGAAACTAACTAATTAAAATAACAATTTCCAAGCTGAATAGAATTGATGATAAAAAGAGTGTATTATACTCTATTATTATTCGTTTGATTTTTGACGAAAACAGAATGTGCACGAAATTCTTTATAATCTTTAATATAACTTAACCGCCTTTATCGAGACAGTTAGTTAAGCCATTTTTTAAAGAATTTTTAAAGATTATAATTCTTGAAAATACTTCCAAGTTGATGGGAGTTATCACGACCGACTCCACAACAAAAAGATATTGCTCACAAAGGTTGTGTCCTCTTGTGACGACTCCCCCTTCAGGTAAATGCGTCCTCCGACAGCACCGTATATATTGGAACGAACCAATTCCTTTTGTTGCAGAAGTTTTGCTTGCATAGATTTGGAATGGCATTTCAATAATAATTAGTTTTATGTTTTTTTCATATAGCAGTGTTATAAAGGACAAAGTGTTGGACACTTGTAAAATTTTTTGGATATAGGAAAAAAATTAAAATAAAATAAAAAAGCGGGGAAAATAAAAATTTTCAGTTTGATCCCAGTAAAATTTATGAACCCTCAAAAACGAAGGTGTAAAAAAGTTTTAGAAAAAGAGTGTCCGTTCCTTTTGCATTGAGTAACATAAATAGAACAAAGAAGGTGTTTACATTTTTTTCATTTTTTGTCTCGTTTTTTTTTCCTATTGAAAATGTTGTTGAACAATAATAAACAGGGATTCATACACAAAAGTCATAGATTTTCAATATGGAATTTCTATAATTACATTAGGATTTACTATTTATAGAGATTTTCAAGTACAAAGTTTATCATAAAAAGGAATGTATATATTTTTTTTTTTTTTGTTTCGAACTTTGCTGCCAAAAAAAAAACTTGATGCATGCAAAAAAGGAGTGAGAAGAAAAAGAAAATTTAATCCGAAAAAGGATTTTTTTTTTTTTTGAAATAATTATTAGCCTCTACTTTTCACGAATTGTATTCTTGTTCTAGATATTTTATTCAATTTATTTACAAATTTTAATGAGTGGTGTTTCAAATACAAGAGACTTTTGCAACATTAACAACAGATATTAATGATAAAAGAATAGTAATAATGTTTCAAGGAGCAGTAATAAAGAGCAGCTAACACTATATTGATTCAAAAGTAGTTAATGAAGTGAACAAAAAACCTATTGCCCTACAAAACTAGAAAATCTTTAATTGTAATTGTTTCCCAAAAAGTATCTTCTTATAATTTGAACTTTTTTTTTAACCCTCAAGTTTATTTTTTTCTAAAAATGGAAGTCGCAAAGATAACGATTCCTTATATAAAGTGTTGCAAAAGCTGATGGTCTCTTAAACCCATTCCAATATTTATAGTAAATACTTAAAATCCTTTTTATTTTTTTTACCCAAAGCATATTTTTTTTTTACTTTCAAAATGTCTCAAAATCAAGAAATTTTTAACATTCCAAAAGGGAAATCAGGATACGTTATGGGTCCAAAGGCTACAAATTTGAAGCAAATGAAGTATGTAATTAAACAACTTTTTCATAAACAAAAAAAAAAGGAAAAAATATATATATATATATAAATTTATTTTGCTAACATATTTTTATCTTGTTTGCTTAGAGAGATTTCAGGAGCTGAGATAGAAATCTTGGGAAGAAAAAATCAACCGTGTCAAGCGAAAATTACGGGTACTGTGGAACAAC